TATATATATATATATATTTCTAGTTGATTGATTTCGGATAAAAATGTCCGCTACCGTGGAACTACAAAGAATTAGCAGTATCTCTAACTGGACAGAAGCATCAAACGAACCGAGAAGTATAGCTTCATAGAAACCAATTATCCCGATTGGCAGGAGGTCGTTAATTAAATTGAAAGATAATTCCTGAGAAAACTAACCGTACTGAGAATATCCCGAATAAATGTGAAACTTTTTCATCGGACGATACCCAAAGCATTTTCCGTCACACCGAAGGTTGAAATACCTACATATACGTACTACCAATACTCAGTCGTAGAGAAGTGTGAAGTACACTTTGCAAATGGATCTTCGCAGAAAGCGCGTTCGTAGGACTCAATTTGTCAACGTTGACCATTTTCACGTCGGTAAAGTAAAATTTTCGCACATGCTCGCCAAAACTTTCGGTTCACTTGAAACTCGTGCGTAAGTATGTGCACGTTTATGTGGACTTCCGGAATCGAGTTTTACCCGGTAATCGCACGACGATCTACTTCCTGGAAATTCAAAATGGGTCAAGAGATATCTCGATATGTGAAAGATATCGAGAAATTTTTCGCATACAGAATAATAATATTGCAGTATTTTCGCAACGCCATTTAGTGAAAATACTACGCGTAATGCGTCGCGACACTTTGTACGCGATAGATGCCGTTTCGTGAGAATGCGACATGCCCGGTACTTACTTTCTGCTGACTGTGGAATTGACTTCATGAAAAATTGGCAATGACAACAATTCGATCTCGAAATCTATTTCTGATCTTTATAACATAATGGGATTATGCTCGGAGGAATAAAGAATATTAAAATCTCGTGTAAATTGCATTATGGAATTTACATTTGAATTTCGTATTTTTCCCGCGCTCAAGGTTTACGGCTGTCCTTGTATAATCTCACTTTGACCTCCAACTTTTCGACCCACCAACACTTGCGTGGGGTCCAAAAGACCCCAGTGCATTAATTCTTCGCCTTATCACTAGAACAATTTTGTTCTCGATATTATTTATTTATTAAGTGATAATAAACATAAGCAGTAAAACAAATTAATTCCTCATAGCTATATAATAAACAATTCTTACCAGCGTATAATATTTTTTTCTTTGGTCATCGATATAAATTGCATTAACGAATTAACAAAATGGGGTCTTTTCGGACCCCACCCATTGCTACAAGAGCTCATGCAATCCCTCAAAGGTTTAACCATTAACGACTACAGGGATTCACTTTTCACTGTTGTTATGTACGCTTGATTAATACAAAATACTCTATATATATCATTTAAATGACACTACCCCTATTGTTTATGACAACAGTACCACTGAAACAACATTTACTTTTATTCAAACAATTTCGCGAGTTTCAGCAGAGCATAAATCCACATTTGACACATTAAAGTATAATTAACGTTCGTTCTTCCATGACGTGGAGCGGGTTGGTGTTTATTTGAGTAAATTAAAAATTACGAACAAAAGAACAAATGGTACTGGTACCGTGAAAATCGGCCATATTGTTTCGCCGTTTCGCGCACGTGCGATCGCATAAAATATTATTGTCTAAAAATGATCTCCGAACGCAAATACAATATACCGACCGATTCACGGTATTTACTTTTCCTTTACGAGCACGAGACGAGCCCCTTTCGCCATTCCTCCCCGCCCGGGCGTGACGGATAGAATAAATTACAAAGGATCATGCAAAAGCCGTTGGCCAACACGTTACTCGAGACTTTCGCTTTTGTCTGCATCCAGCGGCGAGAGAACCGTAAAAGTTTAAGTACCGAGAAGGCACTTACAGAGTTCCGTGCCAAGTCAGAAGAAGAAGAAAAAAAAAAAGAAACCAAAAAACGCATCCGATGGAATTTACGATGAAGAGGGTAAACTTCCGTTCTGATATAAATGGCTAAATAGAGTACTGCCATCAGCGGGACTCAAGTTTTCCATTTAGGCAATGAGATCCAAGTCCGAGACTGGTATAAATTCGAATTAGTTGCGAGTACCCTTTTACTTGGTTCTCCTCTTTTTTTTCTCTCTTTTTTTTTTTCAAAAACCTTTTGTTACGTACGACTCTGTATGTCAAGGCCGTATGTGGGGTACGTAACGTATGGTCCCTCTGGTTGGTCTTTCTCTTCGTGCAACTCCTATTCTCCTGTACTATGTGCCAAAGAGACTTCGACCTGGACCCAAGTTCGACCTCTCCTGGGAAACATTTTTTCTAACCAAGTAGCCCATTTAAGGGAAATCAGGATATGAGGGTTTACGGGGAAAGACTGTGGGAGACTGTTGGAGTGAGATGAATTTTATTGCGGATT